GCTGAACAAAGAGTCTCACAGTGATAGTTTAATTTAATATAAACACAAAAACAGGACCTAAAGCCAAACAAAGAGTCTTATAGAAATAGTTTAATTTAATATAAACACCAAAACAGGACTGAAATCCCAACAAAGAGTCTTATAGTGGTAGTTTCATTTATTATAAACACCAAAACAGGACCTAAAGCCAAACAAAGAGTCTTATAGTGATAGTTTAATTTAATATGAACACAAAAACAGGACCTAAAGCCAAACAAAGAGTCTTATAGTGATAGTTTAATTTAATATAAACACAAAAACAGGACCTAAAGCCAAACAAAGAGTCTTATAGTAGTAGTTTAATTTAATATAAACACCAAAACAGGACCTGAAGCCAAACAAAGAGTCTTATAGTGATAGTTTAATTTAATATAAACACCAAAACAGGACCTGAAGCCAAACAAAGAGTCTTATAGTAGTAGTTTAATTTAATATAAACACCAAAACAGGACCTGAAGCCAAACAAAGAGCCTTATAGTGGTAGTTTAATATAATATAAACAACAAAACAGGACCTAAAGCCAAACAAAGAGTCTTATAGTGGTAGTTTAATTTAATATAAACACCAAAACAGGACCTAAAGCCAAACAAAGAGTCTTATAGTGATAGTTTAATTTAATATAAACACCAAAACAGGACCTAAAGCCAAACAAAGAGTCTTATAGTGGTAGTTTAATTTAATATAAACACCAAAACAGGACCTAAAGCCAAACAAAGAGTCTTATAGTGGTAGTTTAATTTAATATAAACACCAAAACAGGACCGGAAGCCAAACAAAGAGTCTTATAGTGATAGTTTAATTTAATATAAACACAAAAACAGGACCTAACGCCAAACAAAGAGTCTTATAGTGGTAGTTTAATTTAATATAAACACCAAAACAGGACCTAAATCCAAACAAAGAGTCTTATAGTGATAGTTTAATTTAATATGAACACCAAAACAGGACCTAAAGCCAAACAAAGAGTCTTATAGTGAGTAGTTTAATTTAATATAAACACAAAAACAGGACCTGAAGCCAAAAAAAGAGTCTTATAGTGGTAGTTTAATATAATATAAACACCAAAACAGGACCTAAAGCCAAACAAAGAGTCTTATAGAGATAGTTTAGTTTAATATAAACACCAAAACAGGACCTAAAGCCAAACAAAGAGTCTTATAGAAATAGTTTAATTTAATATAAACACAAAAACAGGACCTAAAGCCAAACAAAGAGTCTTATAGAAATAGTTTAATTTAATATAAACAACAAAACAGGACCTAAACCAAACAAAGAGTCTTATAGTGATAGTTTCATTTAATATAAACACCAAAACAGGACCTAAAGCCAAACAAAGAGTCTTATAGTGGTAGTTTAATATAATATAAACAACAAAACAGGACCTAAAGCCAAACAAAGAGTCTTATAGTGGTAGTTTAATTTAATATAAACACAAAAACAGGACCTAAAGCCAAACAAAGAGTCTTATAGTGGTAGTTTAATTTAATATAAACACCAAAACAGGACCTAAAGCCAAACAAAGAGTCTTATAGTGATAGTTTAGTTTAATATAAACACCAAAACAGGACCTGAAGCCAAACAAAGAGTCTTATAGAGATAGTTTAATTTAATATAAACACAAAAACAGGACCTAAAGCCAAACAAAGAGTCTTATAGTGGTAGTTTAATTTAATATAACCACAAAAACAGGACCTAAAGCTGAACAAAGAGTCTCACAGTGATAGTTTAATTTAATATGAACACCAAAACAGGACCTAAAGCCAAACAAAGAGTCTTATAGTGGTAGTTTAATTTAATATAAACACCAAAACAGGACCTAAAGCCAAACAAAGAGTCTTATAGTGATAGTTTAATTTAATATAAACACAAAACAGGACCTAAAGCCAAACAAAGAGTCTTATAGTGGTAGTTTAATTTAATATAAACACAAAAACAGGACCTAAAGCCAAACAAAGAGTCTTATAGATATAGTTTAATTCAATATAAACACAAAAACAGGACCTAAAGCCAAACAAAGAGTCTTATAGAAATAGTTTAATTTAATATAAACACAAAAACAGGACCTAAAGCCAAACAAAGAGTCTTATAGTGATAGTTTAATTTAATATAAACACAAAACAGGACCTGAAATCCAAACAAAGAGTCTTATAGTGGTAGTTTAATTTAATATAAACACAAAAACAGGACCTAAAGCCAAACAAAGAGTCTTATAGTGGTAGTTTAATTTAATATAAACACAAAAACAGGACCTAAAGCAACAAAGAGTCTAAGTGTAGTTTATTTAATATAAACACAAAAAGTACTAACGCCAAACAAAGAGTCTTATAGTGGTAGTTTAATTTAATATAAACACCAAAACAGGACCGGAAGCCAAACAAAGAGTCTTATAGAGATAGTTTAATTTAATATAAACACCAAAACAGGACCTAAAGCTGAACAGAGTCTCACAGTGATAGTTTAATTTAATATGAACACCAAAACAGGACCTAAATCCAAACTATGACTATAAGAGTCGTTGTTTGGCTTTAGGTCCAGTTTTGGTGTTTATATTAAACTAAATCTCTATATGATTGTTTGGCTTTACGTCCTGTTGTGGCGTTTGCTGTGAGTGAAAATTAAAGATTAACAGTCATTTACACACAGAACAACTGACCGCGAGTTTAATTTGTGTCCATAAGCCTGCGTGATGCGCGTGCACGCGACGGGATATCGGACTTTGCCGGTGAGTAAGAATTCACCACCAACGCCCCCTTTAAATGGCGGGAGTCCAGTACGGGAGACCCTTCCCCGTATCTTCAGTCTTGTTTTGCAGTTATTTTTATCAGTCACAGTAACGCTGAAACACTGGGCCTCATTCATTAACCGTTCTTAAGAAGACATTTCTTTCAGCGTCGAAATGACTCCAACACGGAGAGAATATTTCAACTCGGTTTTAGGCTTAAGGAGACAAGCAGCGGGGCAGCAGTGACGTAAACATTATGCTTCTGCAGGCATCATTGCATACTGCACTTATCTGAGTATATCATGTTGATCGTGAATCTAGAACACAGAACCTTCTCGCCTTAATTTGGAATTAAAGTCATTTGATTAATATCCATTCAAAACGGCTATTATAAACACAACGTCTTCATTTTCAGGAGATATTTCTGAAATTAGATAGGAGATAATCAGCTTGCATAAGGTACAGAAAAGGTAAAGGAAAATATGTGAGAAGTTATATTTAGTTGTTGAGGCTTTTGTCTTAAATATATGCTTTTTTTCTGACACTGAAAAACGAATAATTTGACCGGTTTGGCGGGAAATACAATAAATGAGAGTGGCTTTCTGCACAGTATTACACACCAATGGAAGTAAATCTGCACAAAACACGAAATGTTATAGAAATAGGGCTATTAATACCATAAATAAAACATAAAATTGTTTAAAAAGACAGTAAAACGAGTTTTACCACATTGTTGGTCATCCCTGCACATCTCTAAAATCTGCAGCTCACTGTATCACTTTATAAAGTCGTCAATATTTAGAATGATCAGAAAAATGAAATATAAAGCTAGAATTAAACGTACTTGGTGAATCTGAGTCTTGAACTTGAATTGGTGTATTTCTATCATATGTCTGAGGAGGTTTCAATTTAGTTTGAGGTACACAGATAACAAACCAGTTACATTTACAGTCAATTTAGTTTTGAAATTGTTCATTTCACCATGATCAGAAAATGCAACCAGCTTCTGAAACTGAACTTTGAAGGTGTGAAGAAATGTCCCTGCAGATTTCTTTGAAACACTGAAAGTGAGTCTCCTGCAAAGAATGGAAGCTGTAATAAAGGCAGAGTGGACACACTAAAGGGCTTTTTTCTTAAATACATGCCTTGTTTCTTTGTGCTGTTTTCTGACTCTGAACATTGTACTCAGTGGCTGTTTGGCCTAAAATCTGCAGCTCATTTTATCACTTTATAGGGTCGTAAATATTTAGAAAGATCAGAAAAATGAAAACCCAGAAGTAAATGTACATCTTGAGGTTGAATGTATTTAATGACCCCTTCAGTTTAGCTTTATCCTATTAGTTTTAAACGTTCTCTCTGTGCTCATGTACTGCCTATTAAATTACTTAAACAATGAAAGACCACCCCGCACACTGACAAGAGAAAAACACCAAGGATCACATCCGAGTCTGAAAACGAAAGTTTACTTTCAAAGTACATTAGCTGGTAAATAACGTTATTTCTCCTTTTTTTGTTAAAAACAAGTGCTCACTGCCGAACTCTCTCCCAGCCTCATCCAGGAGCCACTGCAGTGAAATGAGAGAAATAAGTCATTTTTGAAAGGCATAAATATTGAGACACAGAAGTAAGCCTGTTATTTTTCTGCATATTCGTAGACAATGTCAGATCAAGAGATATAAGGCGAACACATATAACACATCACAGAACATCTTTCAGTTTCAGGATGTCTCATAAGGGTAAATTTCACTCCGTGGCCGGAAGTGTGCACTTGTCAGGGAGCTGGCCAAGAAACATGTATCTTATAGGCCTCCTATGAAATGGGCTGACAGAATGAATTACATTATTAACCAACTGATAACATCATTTCATTACTTTACTTTAAAGGGCCCATATCTTACAATTTCTCTTTTATATTTTCCCCCTCAGCTCCAGTTTGGTACATAAAACCACGTGTGGCCTGTGGGGACAGTACATTTTCAAACTTTGTTCTTTAAAGAATGTTGATGTTCTGTGATTTGCGTTTAAGGTTTTGGTTTATGGTATGTTTTCTGGAGCCCTTTTAACTTTTAACTGTTCAACTTCAGTGTCCCATAATAGTTATAGCTTCTCACTGTAAACATGAGGGTAATTAAAGGGGAAAACAACATGCTGTAAAAACATTCTGTAAGACTTCACTGTCATTAAACACATCAGTGTGAAGGAGCAGTGTAGATTAATTAAGTCATGTTGTTTATTACAGAGTCTGCAGGCTCAGGTGTGCGTCAGGTACTAATCACCTGTGCGTCTAAGATCTGGAGGACCCTCGTTACCCTCTTCAGCTGCACCACTGGAGGTCTGTATCACAGACTTACATTAAAACACATCTTACATTACACAGCTTCCATTAAAAAGAAAGCAATACAACTCAGCTACGTGTTGCTTGGTGCTATCAGGATGGTGTTTATATCTTTGGTCATTTCTAATCAGTCAAACAGCAGTTCCTAATGTATTTTTGTATTGTTAATCAATTAATGTTTTAATGTTTTGAAGTAAACTTGCTTAAAGTAATCACAAATACTTCCGCTGAACTGAGGAAGCATGGCATGGTTTGTAAAAGTACTGAGATGCGGTGTAAAGCACTGAAATATGATGGTCAGCTGCTGAGTTAAGAATGACGTAAGATGCTTGAACAATTTCAGTGTAAAGTGTTCTGTAAATGTAACATTTTTAGTCATCAAACATGCATTATTTCAGCACATAAATATCAAAGCAGTACACAATGAAAACAACAGTAATATTTCTTCTTTTTTTTTTTATAGGCTGTGTTGGACTCTCAGTGGAGGAGACCGAGCCAGCAGAGCCCCAAAGCTCAGTGCAGCCCTTCATCTGTTCATACAGCAGATAAAGCAGGCACTCCAAGACTGCAACTGTGTAAAAATGTGTATTTCTATTAAAATATGTCTTCTGTAAATAGCCTGTGTTTTTATCTCTTAAAAACAGTCCACTGTGTCACTGTTTAATTTCATAGCTGATATAAAGTCTATAATATCTATAAATTGTCAATCACAAAACATACTACTCTATACTATAGTCTACACGGGAGAAAAAAGATGTAAATCATGGCTTAATAGTAACAATAACAACAACAAAACAATAATAATACATCTTTATTTATAGCACTTCTAACTTTAGCTCTTTACACAGGAATATAAGTAAAATATTGGCAAGATAAAACACAGTGGTCTAAATCAAAACAGCACAATAAAATCAACAGATGAAAACTCTGCTAGCCAAACAAATACGTTTTAATCTAGTTTTAAACACAACTCTAAAGACTAAAGGCTACTAACTGAGCTGCAAGTGATCCTAGTTGTTTGCAATTAACCCGCCTCAGCTGAGCCAGACCACTCAGACAGGCTGTAACGTGCCAAATAATCAGTATAGCTAATATTAGTCTATCATAAAGAAAATCAACTACCTACATTAATCTACAGACACATGCTGGGCATGTCCTCTCTGCACTATACCTCACCACAACTTAGCTAAAAGAAGCTGACGCTGTCAATCCTGGCCCTCACCTTCACAATGCCCTGCACAACTGATATAAGTAAACAGACAGGGTCCAAAGTCCCCAGTTGAAAGAACCTCTTTTGCATATTTGTTTATTGTTTATATACTGTTTATTGCACATTTACAGCAGTGTGGATGTCTTCAGCTCCTGCTGCTGCTTATAGTGGTATACTGGCTACAGTTAACCCAGCAATTTTACCATAATATACAGCACTCACACTGTGCTGTACAATCACATTACTGTATTTCTAAATAGTTGATTACTGTATTTGTGCTGTTTTCTCTGGCAGCATTTCTAATGTACAGCTCACGTGTGCATTAATGTGAACCTACAACTGTATGCAGACTATCAATTTTACAACTTTGAGATTCTAAATTACATGGTACAAAATGTGGAAGTATATACAAACAGGGCAGCTCTACAGAGCTTTGATGCTTAAACACTCGTGTATGGTAAAGAAAGTATGATAGCACTGTTTATCAATCACATCATAGTCTGAACATCCCATCAAAGCAGCTGCACTTCTCTTATTAAGACTACAAAGATCCCAATATGCTTTGCAAGTAACAGCAGCATGACCTGTTTTTCCCAGAATGCAGCACTGAAGGAATACAGATCACTGCAGAGCTTCCACTGTAAATTTACATTAGTTGCTTTCAATGCAGAAATATTCTGAAATGTTCAAATCAAGCACGAGCTCTCCTCCTTCCGCCTGAAGTGGGTCACGTGCTGAAAGAACTGTTTACGTGTGCTTGCTTTGTTGCAATGACAGCCGGCAGCCACACTGACCAATCGCGAAGAAGATAAGACACCGCTGTCTACAGATTAGACTGAGAGTCGGCTATCATGACTCGTTGCTGGGCAACGACTGTTTTCAGGTCTGTCTGCCCAAAATGTTTTTCCTTTTCCGTTTGTAGGCACGCCTTTCTTTTCCTTTTGTTTAACTGTCATGCAGTCGTTCGTGTTTATCTACCCTAAAGATATTCATATGCTGGAGCGAACGGCCTGAAGTTTCTGTACTGTAATTGAATCAATAAATAAAATACAATGAAAAAGCGCTGGAACGAAAAATCAAGAAAGCACATCTAACCCGAGATCTAGCCAGTTGATAGTGCTCTATGTGAATCAGGTTACCTCTCCTTAAACCTCCTCCTTTAGCACTGATATAATACCAAAAAAACAGAGAAATAATCATTCATTTTTTTGCGGTTTTTAAGCGTTTAAAAATTTCACTTTAAAACAGCCGAACAAGATGGACTTAATCTGCTCACTGGTGTAACAGGTCTCGTCATACTACCAGACTGCAAATATGATAATAAAGATTAGACATGGATTAAAATCAGTCAGTCGCTTTTTCACCAACTCTAACTCTAAACTCTTACACTTGTAGTTCTTGTGTTTCCTGTAATGGCACTGTAGTGTGTCAATTTTATTCATATATATATATATATATATATATATATATATATATATATATATGAATAAACATATATATATATAGCGCTGCTGTCGGAACAGAACTCCCCTCCAAACTCATAACTTTACAGGAGAAGAAAAAAAACATACTTTTAGTAATAGAACAAACCTTTTTATCCAATTTTGTGCAGTTTATTTTTGCTCCATTCATCATGAGATTTAAAAACAATGTAAAGAGCAACAGGCATTTTCAAATTACGTCAAAAACTGAAACTTTGTTCCGACAGCAGCGATACACACACACACACACACACACACACACACACACACAACGTATGATTTTCTTTTTTCCTTTTTCATTGAAGTTATCAGCAGGGCGGTCAGAAGTGCAGAACAGAAAGTGAAAAAAGTGAAACATTTTTGTTAACATAATTTTGTTTGAGCAGTGAACAGCAAATGTAAGAAAACGACGTATAACGTCGCGCGTGGAAAATCATAAATATGTGAAAATAAATGTCAGCGTTCCGCGTGTGAAAAACGTGTGGGGTTAAAATGAGCACACGCCATATCACGCCTGCAGAGTACAAGTGTGTGTGAAAACGGCGTGTGACGTGTACGAAACCCACGAGCCAGATTCACTTTTTTTCCTTCTTTTTTGTAAGAACTGTGTGGTTATGAGAGAGAAACTAAAGCGACGACTTAAACCCTTTAAGGGGTTAATATGTGTTAATAATCTTTATATAAAGTAAGCTGAGCCTGGGTCCGCGCGCTGTTCGCCACTCTTCTGAAACAGCGCTCGTGACTTTAATGAGAGGTGTGAGCGGCAGCAGAGCAAACACACACACAGAAAACAGGATGTGACGGACTAAAGCAGAAGTGCGTTAAAAGTGGGTTCATCATAAATAAACAGATGAAAACGACCAACATCTGTAAATACTCAGGACGAACCCATCAACGCTTTGACTACGAGAACATGCGAAGTTCCTCTACTCTAGATAAAGGCGTACGGAAGAGAACAGAGAACTCAGGCCTGGAAACTCCGCACACCAAGCAGAAGAGGAGGAGCGTCTCAGCGTCTCCGCGTCTACGACTCGCGCTACATCTTTCAGATCTACAGTTCACTCACAAATCCAGCAAGTTTATGTCAAAGACACAGTTCCGCCGTCACAGACCACCGGATTCGGCTAATAGCAGGTAGGGGGGGGGAGGTGACAGTCACAATAAAACATATTCACAAAGTAATATTTACAAAAGTATTTATTAATCAGCACATTTTTAAATTTCCTTTCTCCTTCATCAGTTTATTCATATTTCTTAAAGTGTCCACATCATGGAGAACCGAGTTTCCCCTCCCTTTTTGAGGAATAACTGATGTAGTATGTGGTAAAAAATATTAAAAGTTTTAAAGCACACCTTTCACTTTCCAGTTCATATCGTCCATATATGAAACCTGAGCTGCTAAAAACAGTGGGTTTGAATTCTTTGCGACGTGTTCCAATTCACACAGTGAACAAGCGTTACAACCCAGCCCATCCTGGTCAGTCATGACATTGTTGACATTGCATACATTTTACACATCAGACTAGAGGAACTGCTGATTTAGATTAAAGACTTAACCTGCATTAATAAGAGTGCTAACCAAATTAAACTTCAGACGTGAAAATCTACAGTTGTTACGTCAAGAGGAGTTACCCCTGGAGTCTTCCAACCTCTCATCTCAGTTCAGGAGGGAGGTGGGCGTTTACAACAGCGACATCAACCCTATAGCTTTTTGGTGAAATTGGGTGTTACAACTACCCCACGCGGCCCCCAACCTGAAGAACGTACTGGAACATCATCATCAGTTGTACAAGAAACGTGCTTAAAGCCACTGCAGCTTAAAGGTGGGCTTAAATATTCTAGCCTTGCTTAAGCAAACTATGGGGGCGAATGAAACGGGTGATCACAGTCGCAGTTAGTCCACTTCCTGAGATCCAGGGTGTTGACCACTGCACCTGCAGCACTTTACAGGTCTGGTCTAGTGTTTTCTACTGTGTTTATAAAGACAGGCCCAAGTAGTCAGACACTGTATGTACACTGTAAAACATAATAACTGCACTTTTGGTTACTTATTGGTTAAAATACTTATACAAATCTAGTAGTACTTACTATTTCTTGTATAATCCTTAGTTACTGAGGTAAAACTGAGGTATGCTAACTTGGGTAAGTCCTACATACTACATAAGTCTTTTTGCCCCAAAAACTGCAGCATTCATAGCAGTTTTATTGTTTTCTATTAATTCTTAATTTTCTAATTTGTAAATATAATTCTCTTTGCAAAATGTTATTTTTGTTTCATACTCCCATGTTAAATGTGAAGTTCTAATGCATTTTACATGTTTTTGTTGTTCTCACCATGATGGTGTTTTGTGTTCAGGTTTATCAGTTCAGCCTGGAGCCGTGAATGAATGGCAAACATGCATTAAGCTGAGTCCTCAGAAATGGCTGATTCTAGTCTTATCTAAGCCATCAACTTATTACTATAATGAAACAATTGGCAATGCACTGCATAAGGAAGAGTATTTAAGTTAAACTTGAAAAAGAGTACTGACAGCTTAATAGAATAGAATAGAATAGAATAGAATGCCTTTATTGTCCCTGTATAAAATGAATAAATTTAGGAGTACTACTCCTGATCAGTGCAAACCAAGACAGAAAAAAACAAGACCAACAAGTTAAGAAACATAAAATAATTTAAGATAATAGAATATTGCATTAAAATATAATAACAATATAAAATTATTAAAAGAATAAAAAGTGCTTTTACTAATAAGCTAAACTCAGCAGGTGACAGTAGTCCTCATACCTTATATGCTTATTCCAGTGTTTACTGCTCTTAGAACCTAGTATTTGTGAAAGTTAGAGTTCTGATGGCCCAGGAAAAAAAACTATAGCTGAAGGGGAATTCCAGATTTTTCAAAATGTTCAGTGGTTGAGATGTAAACAGAGCCATTCAGAGTGGTTTGGTGTGAAATGGTTGATCACAGAGAAACTTACAAACTTGCAGATTTCTTTACAGTGGTGATGATAGGAACCAGGGGTCACTATGTCTACCACACAAATATAGCCATTTTATTTACTATTGAAAAAACACCAGTGAACCTACACATCTTCTGAGATTTTATATTTAATATTGATATATGTAATATATAAAACAATATCTCAGACATCAGCCTAAGTATTCAGACCCATCTCATGTAATAACTTTCTGTGAGGGAGCTTGAAACGGTTCATTTCACCACCGCTGTGAACTATTTTGACTCGGTAAGTTTCTCCAGAATAAAGCATTTCACACCAAACCACTCTGAATGACATTGTTTACATCTTAACCATTTAATTACATACAAAACAGTTCATTACTTTTGATGTCAATGTAATTGGTCTGAAGTCAATTACACTGTTGATGGATGGCTTCTTTGGGGCAGGGATGACAGTAGCCAACTTCAGATAAGATTACTGTGTATAAGATGGTCTTTTTCTCTTTTAGGCCACTTTTGCAGCTTTCATGCTTCTTCTCAAGTCTGTTTTTGCCGTGATATACAGGGCCCTGCCCCCATCCTGAAGGCAATATTACAGGCTTTCAGCAGTGACTGTACTTCATTAGTCATCCAGGGTTTTTGATCTTGAGGATACACCCGGATGCATTTTTTGACCATTACGTTACCAGTGCAGTGTTTTGTGTAAAACAGTTGTAAACACTGATGAGTTGTTGAAATATTCCATGCTTTGTGTGCAAAGCAGTCTTGCAGCTGTGAAAGTGCACCCTCAGGCCAGGTTTTTTTTTAATGATCTTTAAAACCGGCTTGGTTGTCCTCCTAATGGGAGTATAGGCAGGGCTAAGGAACAGTGAGAGATGGTCTGACAGACCTAGATGTAAGGGGTACTGCTCTATATGCATGCTTTAAGTCAGAATAAACATGATCAAGTGTGTTTCCCCCCCTGGTGGAACACTGTATGAATTTGGGAGGCACTGCCCTTAAGCACGCCTGATTGAAATCTCCAGCAACTATGTGAACTCCCTCAGGATGATCCTGTCATTGTTTATTTGGTGTCATACAAATGAGCAAGAGCTGCGTTAACATTAGCATCTGGTACTATATAGACAGCTGAATTTATCACTGCTGTGAGCTCTCTAGGCAGATAGAACAGTCCACACACGACAGTCATTGTTTTCAGGTCAGGACAGCATAAGGTGTATATAATCTTACTGTTTGTACACTAGTCATTACGCACATATGTGCATATTGTATGGCTGTTTCATTAGCCTAGCAAGCGGGAAGCCTACTAACTTAAACTACTAACCTTACTGAACCTGTTCATTTTTTCAGGTCTGCATGATTTTTCACAGTGTATGGCTATGATAAAAACAAAACAGAAAAAGAACTAGTAAACAACCGAAGTTCATTGTGTTTGGAAACCAAGGAGCATTTATTTTAAACAGACCGTTCTAAGACTGTCATTTTCTTTTCGGCAAAGTATTCTTTCAAAAGGCAGCTGGTGTGTTTCAGATCATTATGGTTTGAGCTGTTTTTTTGTAGACATCTGCAGGTTTCCATCCAAAATATCTTTTTATACTTCTGAGGTCATGATCCCATCATAAACATGGTCTAAATAACACTGCTAAATTAATCTGTATTTATAGAGCACAGCTAATTTGAGAGCATGTCCCTCTAGTTAAACGTTAAGTAATGTAATAAAACAACAGTGTTGCACTGACAGCTGATAAGCACAAACAAATCAACTAGTGCTTTGTCAAAAAGAATAAGACAGGTGCAGCACCTACTGTTGTATTCAAAAATAACAGAGAAGAATTAGAAATGAGCCAGTGAGGAAATGTATTTAATTTCACTTATGGCAGTAAACATACTTTCAGTGAAGGAAAAAAAGAAACTTCTCAGAAAAAAAATCTCAGTTTCAGTAGCTGAGCAAAGTATTTGTCAGATATAACTTTAAAAAGTTCTAAGAATCATACTAAGTTATACGCACTAGAAAATAAAGGCAATTACATGGTGTCAGGGAAAAACTAAAATGACTGGAGGGAAAAAGATTAAGTTGACAATATAAAGTAGAAAAGTAAAAATCAAAGAATTGATTTCATGATCACGTTAGAAAAAAGAATGACAAAAGTTACAAAAAAGTGTTACTGAATGCATTTCACAATATTTGTATATTTGAATGCATTTCACAACACAGTATTTGTATTCAACCATCTTGTACTAGGTACACCTACTTTCCATCTGCACACATTGTCCATTGTATCAGCTCCACTTACCATACAAGTGCACTTTGTAGTTCTACAATTATAAACTGAAGTCCATATGTTTCTCTGCATACTTTGTTAGCCTTGCTTTACTCCACTGATCAACATTCAGGACCACCACAGGTACCACCGCTGAATAGGTATTATTTGAGTGGTGGATCACTCTCAGCACTGCAGTGACATTGACATAGTAGTGTGTGTGTGTGTGTTCTGCACAGAATGGATCAGACACAGCAGTGCTGCTGGAGTTTGTAAATACCTCAGTTTACCTCAGGAGATTAGCCTACCAACCAAACATACCCAGCCAACAGCGTCCTGTGGTGGTCCTGGCCATTGCTGAACGGGGTAAAGAAAGGCTAACAGATTATGCAGACAAACAGATGGACTACAGTCTGTGACAGTACTATATGGTAAATAGACCTGATAAAATGCACAATGAGTGCAGATACAAGGTAGGTGGACCTAATAATAAATGACTAGTGGCAAAAATCACAATAGCCTTACTAAGGATTTATTTTGCTTGTACAAAAACCAGCACAGACCCAACACCAACATTCTAACGCTGGCTGTTGTTTTAGAATGTTTAGAAAAAAACTGATCTTTTATACAGACTTATAAGATGATCTCAATGTCATAAGCGATCTTCTGTATCCTTGGGCCTGTCCTACGAACTAAATCACTGAAATCCTTCTCTTCGCTCGTATGAATCTGAGGGACCTCTGAATGGAATGACAGCTGGCTATTTTTTCCTTCCCTGTCAGCAAAAGGGGAGTGGTCTTCATCCGAATGAAGGTTTTCATGCTTTCTCTTCTTTTTCCTGACATTTTGCTCTTCTTTAAGTATAGTTTTCAGGCTGAGATTTGGTATAGTCTCTACTGCAGGTTCTGCCTCAGGCACAGATTCAGGTTCTAGAAGCTGTTGAGGATCGATCAGGTCTTCCATGTTGTGCTGCTTTAGAACCCTGATAATGCCACCAATGTTCCCCAGCTGGTGCTCCTGGCAGAAGAGCACCCCACACACGGAGCAGCGGTACATCTCCTCCTTGTCGTGGATGAGCTGGTGGCGTTTCAGATTGTGATGGGTGGTGAAGGCACGCTCACAGCGGTTGCAGGGGAACGGCCTCTCGCCGGTGTGGACACGCTGATGCTCCGCATGGTGGCTGCGACTCAGGAAGCGCTTGCCACAGATGGCGCATGGAAATGGCCGGTCACGATCGTGGAATTGTACATGCTTGGCCAGCTGGGCCAGAGAGAAGCATCTTTCACCACAGATAGTGCATCCAAACTCACCATGCCCAGATAACAAGTCTGGAGACAGCATAAGGGGCTGCAGAGCAGATTTCTTTGGAAGCTGGCCAACATCATCAGGTTTGTCAGTCATGGCTTTATGCGCTCTTACCTCATCCTTGCCTTCAGCAACACTTTTTACCTCCAATGACTCAGCTTCTGATGACATCTCAGATACGGAAGCTGGAAAGAGGGAAGAAAAAAATGACTTCAAGTGTGCATTAAATTCAGAAGCGTTTCATTTATATAGTACATTTTACTTAATTTCTGCAATTCTTTCACATTTTTTCCTACTTGAGTTATGAACTACTGGTTTACGTTTTCTAAATACAAAAGTGATATCTTGTTGTTTTGAATGTCATTATGACAACCAGCTAAGGATTTCATGTTTTGATCTATCCAAACCAACAGGGATGGCATTTCCCTCAGAGTGTGCACAGCTCACAAGGCTAGTGAAAACGGAGGCATTTTAAAAAAGAAAGTAACATTAATCTGTTAAAATAACAACCTAAGAAAACCACTAGAGAAATATCTGAGAGAAGTTATGATCAGTAAGATGCAAATTAGGTGTTCCTATGTTGTCTTACCTTGTCTAACCTTAAATCTAAAGGTTAATACAGTATGAGAAAAACAAAAAAATAAATGAATCTTCAAAAAAACTGAAATGTAAAACTGTATCCCTGATATGGCCCTTGGTCTCTTTCACGGGTCTCTACTTCATGACTTCCGTGAAAACCACCGATAACAGACCTTGGGTTGTGTGTCATTTTGTAGTTGGCGACATGCCCAAGTAGTAACCTCTGTGTCTGAACTGTTTTTCTCTATGGGGAAAAAATGAACAATTTCTTAACATTCATCCTAAAGGTTGCTTTTGTGCCATTAACAGTAACAGTTTTCAATGTATTGTTTTCCATCACTGAGCTGTTTGTATAATAGTGTTCTTTGTAAATCACTGAATTCACACCTATATCAGTTTAATCAACCACTTGGTGGCTGTAATATGACATCAATTCAAAGCACATAACCAGCTCATACTGAGAGCTAGCCAGAATACACAGCCTCCACGCGGCAGGGTTAACTTTATCACACTGATATTTGCTGTTCTACTTTGGGGTCAACAATCTACCAACTCTCTTTCTTGCTTACTATATTTCATTTGATATGGACCCAGACTGCGTTGTGCCAAGTGTAAAGTTTGGTGGAGGTGGGATAATGCTATGGAGTTGTTTTTCATGAGTTGGTCTAGGCTCCTTAGTTCCAGTGAAGGGAAATCTCAATGCTTCAGCAGACCAGGACATTCGTAGAAGAGTGGAAGCAAAGGGTAGACTAACGCTACATTAATGCCTATGGATTTAGAATGGGATGTTACAAAAGCAACTCTAGGTGTAATGTGTAGGTGTCCCAATACTTTTGTCCATTGTCCATATAACGTATATATGTACAGGGGGGTGAAAAGCCGATGTGGTTCAAACAACATAAACTGAACTGTGCATCAATTTTATCTGACTTTCTAGCAACTTTTAAAATTTGCCCCACCTGTTGGGGTTAGCTGTAACGTTTGCACTCACTCTACTTTCAGCTGAATTATTCACTAACGGCAGGTAAAAAAAAGCATACATTTCATTTGTAGCAAAGATGACTATCAAAAAAAAAGAATCTTGCTCAAATACTTTTACAATTAAGCAAAAAACAAAATGTGTTACGTAGTGCCCCACTGTCCTCTACACAGTACATCATCCACACGACAGACTTTTGCAAAACCTGTTGCTTATTTCTGTCTTTTACTTTGTGTTACTTATGTTAATCTATGTAATTTTATTATTATGTAATTCTAAGTGCTGTGATCACTGAGCCCCATTTCAATCTTACCATCGCCCACTAGGATGGGTGCCACTCCCACATCACACAAGTGAGCACTCGCAGTAGAAGTGGAGGAGGTGACAGTGAGGAGCAGATTATTCAAACAGAACGCACATGCCCTTGGCAGGTTAGCCGCAGGGAGCTAATTGACTAGCCATGCAAAGTTTGCAACGCAAAACGTTTAAGAAGTTTGAGCATCATGTACATGGTGTGCGAGTCACTGCATTGTCTGGCTATAAACTCGGTGCAGAACCATGCCGTACTGCGCTTTTTTTGTTCTGGTTAGCTGTGTAGCCTTTAGCATGCTAGGTTAACGAGCCAGTTAGCAGAAGAACGTGATGAAGTTGTATCAGCAGCCATGTAGAACAGATGGAGAGGTTTGTAACTTAAAGCACAGCAAATTGAATGTTATGGTTTTGAAACATTAAGCATTTTAAAGCAGTTTATTGCTATGGTTTATAAACAGCTTTATCCACCACTATTTTGGGAGCTGAAAAGGGAAACTCCTCATCTAAAACTCTTCACTTGAGCTAACTAGCTAATGAAGTAAGGGAACAGCCCTTGAGCTGGCGCAGGGGATTCCCCCAGGGGAAAGCGAATGCAGGCTTGTTAAAACCGGTACTGAAACGGGGTTTGGTTCTTGTTTTGCTGCTGGCGGTCTATTTGAGAACTTTCACTTAACTGAGCCAAACCAGTGTAACTAGATCCGTTCAGAAGCAACAGATTTTAACACGTAAATACCGAACGGAGCCGGATATCAACCTCAGAATAGAAAAACAAAAGGGACCTGAAGAAGTGTATCATCACATCCCCAATTAATCCACGTCAAGCTCTTAAAAAAAACAAAAAAAAAACAACGTTAAACTCAGAATCTCCCCTGAAATATAAGACTACAAAACAAACAAACCAACCAACCAGAGGAGCCAGACAGGGCTGAGTCAGCTTCTTGTTCGAATTTTGCCGTTCTACCTTAAATGGTGCAGCACGTAACATAACTCCTGCATCATTTAAGGTGGAACGAGGGGCCAGAGTGTAACTGCTGCACAATTTACTGCTTTACATAGTTTTGCAGTATTTTGTGTCATTGTGTTGTTATTTTAACAACTTTGACAAAGCTGCCACATGGTCCGTGTCCATTTTCCACGAGCATTAAATTCCTCCTGCCCCTTTTCTCGCTTTGAAAAACGGCAGCACACTTCACGTTAAACTCGCGGAGAGAGAACGGACTCGCTGAGGCTAACAGCCCAGTCCTACAACGGCTACTGGTTCTCAAAGCTTCTTCCTTAGACTCTCCGCCCCACTTTAAATAGAAACGTCGAGTAAAAAGCCAACTTTATCTTCTTATCAGTGTTAGCTAGCAGCCTTAATAACGCACAGACTGTGTGGTTGCTATGGCAGCGTGTTGCTACAAAAATGACCAAGTCCAGTTTCTCCAGTAACTCACCTCCTCCTAAAACAGCCAGTGAACAAGTCCGAGGCAGCAGCTTCTTCCCTTCACACTCTCACTCACTCTCTCTCACAGCTTCATCTACAAAACCACCCCAAACCTCAGGGAGAGCAGATACGCGCTTTATTCGCGGAGTCTGACTGATTTTAGGGGTTGTTTTTACAGCCTGAGCTACTGTCGGTTGTTCTGCTCGCTGGACGAAGAGAAACTGAAGAGGCGAACAGAAAAAAACAAAACAAAACAAACTTTCCCGCGAATGAATGAACTCACACTCGAGAGGCGGAAACGGCGCCTGAGAAAAACTAACGGCGTCTGTGACCAGAGCCGAAACAATATTAGCGCTAACCTTATGTCTTTATTTTCTAAATTAAATCTTTTATTTTTGGGGGAAAAACAAGCAGAACAGCCCACACGACTCACTTCCAGCCCCCAGCTTCTGCCTTCCAAAGCGCGTCACCGGAAGTGAACTGCTTGGGCAGGATAAAACCATAAAAACTGGCCTTCAGAGAGAAGCTCTCTGTTCTCCTCCACCCACTGGGAGACCCTAAACACACCCACAAAACACCGCGCCAGCACTCAGAGCCGAGCCGAGCCAGGGCCCTTATATTTGTTCTACTAATGCGACCCGCAGTTTTGTTTGGGATGTTTATGCTCTTAAAACCAGCCACCGAGACATTAAGTCCATATTACTGAACAGATTAAGGACATAAAATGAATATGCAGTGGAACAATGTCAACACAAAGATGGTCAGGATAACATACTGCTGTCACGGCTAACCTGCTATTTCGCTTGATCAGATATTGAAGTCCTTAAAGTTAACAATAAAGATGGCAGCATTCAGTTTTATCTTTAAATCCTCTGAAAGTGTTAACGGTGAAGAGTTACTAGTTATTAGTCTCACCTGTTTCATTCAGTACATTTTCTCGCTGTGAAGTTGTAAACAAACAAAACCGTCGTTAGCAGTAGCGCTCCATCACTGGCTAGCTGGGTAGCATTAACAAATTTCAACGAGCAAGTAGCTCAGATTGCGCAGAATAAAAGAGGTAAAAAGTTCCTTTTGAACCTCTTTATTCATATTTCAGACTGAAACTGTCCACAACACGTAAACCTGAACTTTGTAACATCGCAGAACAAGGTCGCCAACACCCTCAGGGTTAGCCAGGTCACTGACTACAGCGCGCTAAGACCGTCTGAACAGTCCTCTCCACTGAAGACCACTTCATTCTGCTCTCGCTCTCTGACTGTTCGCACAATGTGCCATGGGTATGCATAACCAGTGGGTACATTTAACATCTGCCCCATTCATTTAGGTCTAATCTCAGTCCAAAGATAAAGCCACCTGAGCTGTTTTAGATCACCTTATGACCCTGTCCTTCTCCAGAGCAGTGGTCTCCAACCCTGGTCTTGCTTCCAGCAGAACCTTGTGCCAACCACAATCTGCCACACCAGCTCCAAGGAATGGGCACTGGCATCCTTTCCACAAAGTGGGCGTTTTACTGCGATGGGGTGGATTTCGAGTCCACAAAGCCTCAGGTACGACCTGTCTTTTGTACGTTGATGTTTTTAATAACATGGAGGGCACATCACGATTACACCACATTACAACAGTAATAGTTCAGCTGAGGCAAAATCATCCCATATTCATTCATTTGGAACAATGTCAACCATTTCATTATTTCTCATAATTTGAACCAGGGGTTTCAAACGGGTGTAACACGCAGTTAAAAACACATATGGCATAGTTTAGGCCCATGACAAATTCAGCTTAACATGTGATGTAAACTACACACACATATGTTAATCCTTGCAAATCACAGACATCAGATTGTCCGCTTTAATTTAAAGGGATTTTGTACCCACTAGTAAAAGTGGGTACAAAAGTAAGTGGACACACTTACTCACTCAAAGCTAGGGTTACACTACACAATTTTTACCCTGATTTCAGCCCTGATTCTCAGCCTGGCCGAGTCTGTGCTGGTTTGCTCTAGTCTGCAGATTCTGGGTCAGTCAAAGTCGAGAGTTGGGAGAGAATATCAAGTTCATCAATCAGGAGAAGCAGCAGATTGAGAGAGCCACAGTTGGGTAAGCAAAGAACCCATTATGGTAACAAAGCACATTAATAAAAAAATAAAAATAAAAAAAACGCACTGCAAATTAAGAAAACATCATGAATGACAACACATGCAGAGCCTATAGAAAATGTACTGCAAATTCAGATCTTGTTGTAATGCGCATGTGTTGTCAAATTCATGAAGATGTTTTCTTAATTTGCATGTGTTTTGCCAGAAGCAGTCTGGCTGCGACATCTAAACCCTGGCTGTGGAAGGGATGTCATTTTCAAGCAGACCAACACACAAAATGTCATACAGCGCACTAATGATGGTGCTAAAGATGTTGGTTACTGTGGCTGTACTACAATTAAATCTTGTCGCAAGTTCTATGAGGCTGCAATTAAGTTTAAGCTTAATTAAGGTCAGGAGCAATTGATCAACTAGTGGCATAATTTGGACAGTCCAATCAGAATGATACTGTAACTCAAATCTAAAAAGAAGTGCTTCCAAGAAATGGATAGTGGCAGTACTGGGCAATCCAGTGTAAAGCTGGATATTCTGTCATGACTGGAGGAAATCTGACTAAAGGAAAAAGTTTGTTTCTTTTTCTCCAATAGTTTTTTTTTTCTAATGTATCCTTCTCTTCTCTCAGCATGTTGTTCTCTACCCTAAGCACCACAAGACTTTTTGAAGTCGTAGGGGTCTATGCAGTTGCAATGTCAGCATTGTGTAGTTAATCTGTTCCTTCATACTCACCACTGACCTGGAAAGTCTTCTCGTTCCATGCGAATCGCGTTGGCCCAGCAGCTTTGCCATTGGGGAAATGCCAACTGCACACCCTCGAGTTGCAGTTTGGGGTGAAGTTTTCACGCCTGTACAAAAAGAAAAAAACAAAGATCATCATTTCTTAAGTTTCTATTAGTCATGTGCACAACAATTACAGTGAAGTAGTCACTGGCAAACTCTTAAATCTTAGGCTCCCTTCAACAATGCTCAAGCAGTATGTATAAAAAAAAGGAAACATGCAAGTTAAAGTTAAAAATAAGAATCAAAGATTTTAAAATAGTGTAAAAGTTAAAATACTCCAATAAAACAGAACATAATACAGTGGTAATATTATACGGCAGCAGGTCTATGGTAATGATGAACTGTATTGTAGACAAGTTGTGAATGAATGTATATGCATTTGTAGCAGAGAAAATATTTGTATTTATAATAACATTTTTGTTTTTTTCAGTACTAAAGCATATTTTGGTGCTGCGGGCTGCAAATAGGTAGGTTTAAAAGACTGAGGTACTGTGGACATTTTTGAATATTTCAAGTGTCCATGTACTATTTCAAGGTCTGCTACAAGCGTCTGTATTTGACTGTTGACATTTTTGCATATTTTGAATAAACAATGGCCAGTTTGGGTTTTAGCATAACATGAATTGAAATAAAAAATTCTGTCCCACAGATAGCCTGTAAGCATGTTTGCTGGAAGAGTGTTTGTTTAAGGGTTTCTGAAAACTGCCTTCCCTGCCCTCCCAGCAAACACACAACACTACTGTCACAACGTTGTCTGCTTTCCTACAAGGTTACAACGTTGTCACAACCTCATTGTTCATTAACGTTGTTATAACGTATTATTACTATCTATCTGCAATTCAGCAAGATTCCATGGAGTCCCGTGCACAACATGCGTTGCCACTACGTTGTCAGAATGTTGTCAGATAACGTCGCTACAACTTTCCGAGGAATTACGTTTCACTGTAACAACGCGCAACGTCAACGTTACGTGTTTGCTGGGCTCCATACAACGAAACGCACCGTACAGCAGCTACCAAGTCTCTCGAACACCGTGTCACACCATGTGAAGAAGAGGCGAGATTCTCGCGAGGACAGACAGTTAGTTAAGTCTGGCTATTTTCGCCTCTTAGCTGGGCAGCAAAGAAAAAGCGCTCACAACCTAAACCCGAAGATGAGGGCAAGTAAACCCCACATCCTTAATCAAGGGTCTCCGCAAAGGGCCAGTTTGGCTTCTGCCACTCGCTCCTGAAAGTTAGCCAGGTGAGCTAGCTAGAGTTAGAGCCGAGCCTAGAGTTAGAACTTCGCCTTTCTTCATTCGTGTAAGAATGGTAACTTACCCTATCACCTGCAGCCATTTCGCCCTCTCCTTCTCATCGCTAGGAAAGCGGTGGAACGATAACCGAGTCGTTTTTTTGGACTCAAATCTATTGAAACAGAGAGGGACACAGCATTGCGGCATGCTGAACAGACCAAAGGCTCAGTCCGCGCAGCAGAGCCTTGGACCCGGACGTGACGTGACGGGTGGTCGATACGTCACGTCTTAACGTTCATTCTTAAACGAATGGTTCTTCAAGTGTTCTTTAGTAAAGAAAATGGTTCTATATTAAACCATAAACCCCCCAAAGAGCCCCTTTCATGCTTAAATGGTTCTTTGCGTGGTGAAATGAATGAGTTGTATGTGGAACCTTTTCGTAAATGGTTCTATATAGCACCAAACAGGGTTCTTCTCTTGTCACAAGCTTGGCATCATAACAAAAGCAGAACCCTTTTTGGTGCTGTATAGAACCACACATAACACATTTTTCATCAATATGAAGAACCAGTTTACCATGCAAAGAACCATTTAACATGCAAAGGGTTCTTTGAGGGTTCATGGTTCTATATAGAGCCATTTTTTTTTACTAAAGAACCCTTGAAGAGCCATCTTATTAAGAGTGTAGTCCGTATAAATCATATGAAAAAATACATTGAAATATGTTACTTTCATGATATAAAAACAGTCTTCAGGATGGATTTTCAGAAATATCTGCCGGTTGATGTCCAAATTAATAGACGACGTTGCTGTGGGGTTACAAGAACTAGAGGTGTACTCCATTTGAACCTAGTTAACGATAAAAAATGTCTTGTACATAATGCTCCTCGTGGTGGTGCAGCACGTGATGTATACATTTCCAGAATGTGCACTACCTCCAGTTCCTTTTTGAGCATGAACAGCAGGGTGTGATCTGACCGCTTCCTTCCACATAAATTCTAGGTGCTGTGATCCCCAGTTTTATCCATCTGCAGAGCTGGATTCTATACAGCACCTAAAAGGGTTCTATAGCACCAAACGGGTTCTGTTTTTACTACAGGATTTTTATCATCACAATAGAAGAACCTTTTCTAGCACTATATGGAACACTTTTCAAAAAGGTTCTATATAGAACCGTCTATAGTACATTCTCCATCAATCTGAGGGATGCTTTCACGATGGAAAGAACCCTTTAATCATGCAAAGGGTTTTTGAGTGTTCATGGTTCTATATACAGCTGTTTTCTTTAATAAAGCACCCTTGAAGATCTGTCATTTTTAAGAGTGCACTTAATGCTTCGAGAGAGTAAGTCTTCCACTAAGAGCCTCGCTTTGAAAAGAGGAGAGTTTACTGTCAATAAAAATGGCCGTATGGTCTGAAAGAGGCCTCTCAAAACTGTCACATACCAACCAGAATCCTATGTAAGACTGTTTACAGCCATCCTTACTACTCCAAGTAAATGCTCTGACTGTACACACTTTAAAAAGATGTTTTTAAGTAAAAGATCATTGTTTCCATGTGGCGACATTGGAACTGCAGTCTGTAGCCTTAGAACACTGAGATTTCCAGGTCTTTTACACAGTTGGTGGTTTAAGTATATATACATTTTTATCTATATTTTAAAAACATTTATGCTTATATGCATGTTTATATTTTATATTTACATTTATTGTGGGGTTTTTTATTATACAAATCAAGAAATAGTAGCCTACCAGCTATTTTTACTGGAAAATTGATTCAGAAATATGTCAACAGAATCAATGTACAAAACAAAATAACTCTGAAATTAAAATCCTGATAACAGCATAATTATTTTTTTTTATGCTGATCACCACCAAAATCAGCCTACCAGTACCAGGCCGGGTAACGACTTAAGTAGAAACAGAAGCGCTTTCCACAGAACAACCTGAGTAGAAGCGCAAAAGCAGCATGTTGAAAACCTCATTTAGAGGCTGTAGCGGAAATTCTCAGTGCTTCTAGCATCTTAGGTGCTGTTTTTCTCTTTGTGATGAACTAAAATCCATGCCTAAAATAACATGCCAAACCTCAGAGTCACTCTCGGAAAGGAAAGAGCGCTGCAACCTACACACCATCACCAAACCAGCAAGGAGAAACTGAGCACGAAAACTAGGAGGCAGTGCCCCCTAGTGGTACACGCACTAAGTGCGGCTGAGAATTGTGGTGTGAAAACGGAAGAGAGTCCTTCTTTTCCTTCCACTCTCACTCGTCCCTTTTCACAACGTCGTGTTGTTTGAAGGCTCTATGAAAAATGTATGCATCCACCCAGACCGGTAAGAGACCCCCGCCCTCTCACTCACACAGCTCTGAATTCTAGAAAGGAGGACCACGTGACGAGTTCTGATCGCCAATAGAGCCGTGTAAGTACATCAGATTAAATCATAGATACAAATAAGCCGCTTGATGATGATGAGGATGATGATGATGAGGATGATGATGATGATGATGTGGATGATGATATTTGCTCTAACAAACAAGAACTGTCACTTGTACATGTTAAGAAAGCAAGTTGGTATTAATCGAATTGAACCAATTCTTTTAAAATGTGTTCAATGTCTTATTGTTGAAAGAACATAATTGCTCAATGTGAAATTTGTTGCCAACGAGAAATTCTATATATACATATATATCATTTTTTACTACACACACACACACACACACACACACACACACACACATATGTGTGTGTGTGTGTGTATATATATATATATATATATATATATATATATATATATATATATAAACCAAAATGATAATTAAATACATATAGTAAAAAATGGCATGGCTCGTCAGATCAACATAAAAAAAGACTTTATGTGGTAACAAGTAAATGAAGTGAATTTCAGCCCAAACGATTACTCGCGTAAGTGGACCAATCAGATAAGAGCGATTTTTAAAAAAAAAGCCTTTCCTTCGTGAACGGAAAAAGTTTTTTTAATAGTACACAATTACAGTGATGCCAATACACAACATGCATATAATACATTATATCAGTTTAACAGAAAAGAAACAGAAAGGAGTCAGAGAATAGAGCACTTATAAAAATATATTACTGTTTTAACAGCTTTTTTTGTTTTTGGAGACAGAATTTATGTATTGTTTATCTTCTATTTCAAATTTGAGAAATTCAGATTTAGATTTAATACATTTGCAACTGTGAACATGGAATTCTGCCAAAATGATAATCAAATTAATAATTTAATAATAGAATATAATCCTTATATTTGTCTGGATCTACTTTGAAAAAAATTAAGGTAACAATTTGCAGGCATTTTTTTAAATAAGCTCAACTAGAATGCTGTTAGGTTAGGTCGACTAACTGAACTAGACTATTATAAATAAGAAAATCTTCAACATCAGAAAGCCGAAATAATTTGAACCTGCTTAATATTAATTTCATTGTTTTGTTTCACTAACACCACGTGATGGACTAACACCCCCCCCCCAAACCCAGGAGGATAAGCGGCTTAGAAAATGTGTGAGTGTGTGTGTGTTTCACTCACACACATAAATAAAGTTCCACCAATATGATTTTATTGAATATTAGTAAGCTCAGTTAACCTACTTAATAAATTAGTTTGGTGTATCTTTACATTTTTTTCTGTTCTACTCAAATGCTTTATTTATTTACTCACAGTGAAGACACATCCCGCAATCCCACTTTTTATTACAAGCTCGAAGTTGTGGGTATAACCAATGTTTGCACAAAAACAAATGCATCTGTATAGTAAAAAAAATTAACTCTGCAGTTTTCCCTCTGAACATAACCTGAATTATCTCAGTAGCCTTAATGATCTCAAAGTCACTTCTCCTAAAGGCCTTTGGTGGCAGCAGCATCTTGTAATTCAGAATTCAGCACTTAACGGAAATAACTAAACTGGAAATGCTGGAGAAAATCTGTTTACCTTTCATCACAAAAACCCTTGAAGGTATATAATTAAATCTCTTTAAGCAACAAAACAGAATATACAGCCAGAGAAAGTGAACTGAGCCTTTTTAGGCATAATCCCTGACTGAAATGTGCAAAAGGAACAACTTTACGTCAGGAAAAAAATCATCATTTTAATACGGAAACGCTCAGAAACTAGATGTGGGCTCTGTTTTAAGAATGATAATACGAGTGATGACATATATCATGTCTGAAGCTGAACAGAACAACATTTAGAAAACGGGATTTTCCGCCGGCGCTGATTTCGACACAGACGCGTATTTGAACCAGGCCGCCATCTTCAGTCTTCAGGAGTTAAAGGGGAACTCCACCGATTTCTCAAAATGTCTGCATAATTCAGTGGTTGAGATGTAAACAGAGTCACTCGGGGTGGTTTGGTGTGAAATGGTTTACTGTAGAGAAACTTACCGACTCATATTTCTTTACAGTGGCTGATAGGGACCAGGGGTCGCCATATCTACAACACAAATACAGCCATTTTAGCTATTTACTATCTAAAACCACCAGTGAACCAACGCGCACCTCCCGAGATGTAGTATGTGATGATGAACAGATTAAAAGAAATTGATTACAATCTGTTTTAGGTCAAAACTTTATCACGAATCTATCCTAAAACAGTGTGTCAGGCATCAAGCTGAGTACTGAAAGCATTTAATAATTCTCTACTTTCTGTGAGGGAGCTTAAAGAGGCATTTAACTCTTCAGATGTCTGGTTTCACCACTGTGAACAACTCTGACTCTAAGTTTCTCTAGAGCAAAGAATTTCACACAAAACACTCTGAATGGCTCTGTTTACATCTTACCCATTTAATTATGTAAACGGTTTTAAAAAGTCGGTGGATTTCTCCTTTAACGTCACTGAACAAACTGTGCTTATGAGGAGCAGGAGGAACACGGACTCCGCCTCCGCCACGGAGCAGGAGGAACACGGACTCCGCCTTCCACCCAAAAACAGCGACTACCGTCCAAAAGCTGCGCTAAGTTGTTAAACTAAGCCTAATTAACGTCAACTAGCCGAGGTAGCTAACGCTACATAGCTGGCTAATGTTAGCGGAGTGATGGCTCGTGTGCTGAAAACGGGAGGAAAAAAGATTTAAAATTTCTTCTTTGAATCTTCTCCAGCAATATTTAACATGTTCTAGCATAAAACACGCAGGTAAAGTACTGAAAATTACAACAAAAACAGCTCATTAATGGTCAAAATCAAACATCTAGAAGATCAGACCTTGGAAAATCCTAAGGCTGAATCTCCAATGGCTCACTGCTCCCTACATAGTGCACTATGTGAGTTATTCAATTTTGACTTTTCTGAATTGTGCACGTCTCTGAATCCGAGGTGATTTTTGCTAGACACACTGTGCACTGTTCAGATGCAGTAGCCTTTCTTATAAGACCTACATACTGCACTGTAAAACAGAAGCAATGAGCCAATTAAAATCTGTCTGAGGGCCGCATTTGGCCCTGGGGCCGGACTTCGGACACCCCTGTTCTAGATGATATGAAAATTCATTTTAAAAACCTAATAAATGTATTCATACAGGTACATTTACTGAGTTTATCTATTTTTGGAGCTTCTTGTGGTGCATTTAGGCCAAAAGAACCCTGACACAGTCATTAAAGCACATCTCTGTGTTCAAAATGTGAACAAACTGCTTGTGTTGAAAAAAAAAAAAAAAATTATATATAATATACATAATATATATATAATATACACACACACATACGTGAAAGCTCCTTCGGCTTTTGGTCTCTGAAGTGTAATTATATGCATGATGTAAAGTCATTAATGTCTTTTTTGCTAGGTCACCTAGCTAGTGTTTGATTTGCTGTTCTTCTGAAATTGCCAAAAATATTTTTGATTGATTGATAGACCTTAAGATTGATAGACCTAAAGTGCTACTGACGCCCTTTTAAAATAGCACTGGCTTTCTGGCAGAGCCGAGTTAAGTTTATCAGTTAGGAGTGGGAGTGAGTGAGCAGCTCAGACAGCTCAAGCACTGTGGACTTTCCACAGCCGCAGCGCAGAACACATGAGGTGCCAGCACATTTCTCTCTGGGAAGTGAACCATTTCTCATCATTCTAAGTTGGTAACCACAGCTGAGAAAGGCATTTTCTCTTTTTTAAAATCAGAAACTGTTTTTTGAGTATTTATCCTCAGACACATTATCACTGTTTGAACAAAACCTAGTATTTCCAGATGCAAGGTGTTTGCGATACATTAACTTACACTATATACAAGAATATACTTTTTAATCTGATACATTCTACCTCATGGATGGGTAAAGTAGCCTATGTCTGCTACAGGCTCTATTGTACTCTTTTGGTCTAAAACCTCCAAAGTCAGAGTAAGACTAAACGCAAAGCAGTACAGCCACTGAGCCAACAGAACAGAATGAAATAAATCACAACAAAGGAATCAGTAACTGAATGCCAATGACTAAAATATAACAGAGTTACTAACTGTAGTAGTGCTGGATCATTCTCAGCACTGCAGTGACACTGATGTGGTGGTTGCCTGTTAGTGTGTGTTGAGCTGGTATGAGTGGATCAGACACAGCAGTGCTGCTGGAGTTTTTAAACACCGTGTCCACTCACTGTCCACTCTATTAGACACTCCTACCTTGTTGATCCACCACTGACCATGTCAGTGTCACTGCAGTGCTGAGAATGATCCACCATCGAGATAATACCTGCTCTGTGGTGGTCCTGTCACTTCTTGATCTACAACAATGAAAACATTTCTTGTACAACTGTAAACAAAGATGTGTGCATTTAAAATGTCCAAAAAAAGGAATTTAAATTCTTAAATTCTACGTACAGCAGCCAGTGAGCCAAGTACACATCCAGTGAAGAAAGAATAGTCAATTTGAGCTCATGATCATCGAGCTAAAAAACAGAATGTCAAAAAGCAGAAAATGTAAACATTTTTCAAAAAAGTCCAGTGTTACAGAAAGGACCCATTTAAGTATTTAAAGTATATTTGCTTTCCTGCAGGTGCTCTTTGAAAGCTGAGGTCAATTGGGTTTAACATGATAAAACATCATAACGACATTACAATATTCCCTTTGGCACAGTATGAAGGGGGGACAACATTTTAGAACAGTGTATAAGGAGGAGAACATTCCTGAACACTGCAATGGGGACAGATCATTCTCCCCTATTCTCCTAACAAACACACAAACCAAGACAATGTTTGGGTTTGTTGGCCTTTGTTCTCAACTGGGGTGATGTATTAAGGCTTGTTCAAAAGTGGAAGAGGTAAGGGTCATTCCTACTGGACAAGCTTCACTTTTGCCTTCTCCAGCTTTATTGAGAAATGCTACTTTGTGAGATATCTCTCTGGCCTTAACCACCACTGGATCACGACCAGCATTCCACACGTCCCAAACATTACATCATTAGCAGTTTGTTTTCACAGAGACTTATAAGATGATCTCAATGTCATAAGCGATCTTCTGTATCCTTGGGCCTGTCCTACGAACTAAATCACTGAAATCCTTCTCTTTGCTCGTATGAATCTGAGGGACCTCTGAATGGAATGACAGCTGGCTATCTTTTCCTTCCCTTCCAGGAAAAGGGGAGTGGTCTTCATCCAGAAGAAGGTGTTCATTACTATGTTTTGTCTTTTTCTTCCTGAGCTTTGGCTCCTCTTTGGTTTTAAGGCTGAGATTTGGTAAGTTCTCTACTGCAGGTTCTGCCTCAGGCACAGATTCAGGTTCTAGAAGCTGTTGAGGATCGATCAGGTCTTCCATGTTGTGCTGCTTGAGAACCCTGATAATGCTGCCAATGTTCCCCAGCTGGTGCTCCTGGCAGAAGAGCACCCCACACACGGAGCAGCAGTACATCTCCTCCTTGTCGTGGATGAGCTGGTGGCGTTTCAGATTGTGATGGGTGGTGAAGGCACGCTCACAGCGGTTGCAGGGGAACGGCCTCTCGCCGGTGTGGACACGCTGATGTTCTGCGTGGTGGCTGCGGCTCAGAAAGCGCTTGCCACAGATGGCGCACAGAAATGGCCGGTCACGATCGTGGAACTGCACATGCTTGGCCAGCTGGGCCAGAGAGAAGCATCTTTCACCACAGATGGTGCAACCAAACTCACCATGCCCAGATAACAAGTCTGGAGACAGCATAAGGGGCTGCAGAGCAGATTTCTTTGGAAGCTGGCCAACATCATCAGGTTTAATGTCAGTCATGGCAGCTTCATGCACTCCTCCCTCATCCTTACTTTCAGCAGCACTTTTTATTTCCAGTGACAAGATCTGGAAAGACATCTCACAGAAGATAAAAAGAGAAAAATATAAATTAAAGTGTGCAAAAAATTCAGAAATGGTTTAACTATTTATGCAGTACATTTTGCAACTGATTATATATTTAAGATACAACTCAATTGACTCAGTGACTTGCCCAAAGCAAGAAAGATGTTTTCCCAGAATCCAGTGATAACCCAAAACATTCCTCTAGTACCACACAAATTTACAGTATGAAAAACCCTGTTACTGTTGAAATTTGTGTGTATATAATGCAACCAATGAAGAACTGCCAGTTTAACTTCATTGGTTGCTAATGCAGGCTGTATTTAGCTCATGAACACTGATGATAGCAAGAGGCTGAAACGTTTGCTTGGTTTGTGTCCAGCTTTTTGTACTCTGTTTAATGGAATATATATATACATTTTTTTGCTGTCTTAGATTTTGTTGTATTGGAAATAAGACAGTGGTTGCGTGAGAGAAATGTAGTGTTCCTACACTCTAAAACTGCTGTGTTGTTTTTTCTACACAACTGTTGGGTTGGGGCTGTTGGGTTATTTCCACAGTGGTAGAAAGTTTTTAGGTAGTTTTTGGGAAGTCCCGCCGGTGGGTTAGTGACTGTGTTACAATAACAACCCAGCCAAAGAGTTAATTGTCAAATCATAACAGTGCTGGTAAGAACAGAGTAGAGTAACTCTTCTGTCAGTGTATGGTATATTACTTTGGATAACAGTTTGTCATTATTGAGCAATACTTTGATGATTTAACCTGTATTAAGAAGCAGAAAATATTATAATGAATAGAAATAAAAAAAAAAAAGAAGCAAACAAAAAATATCAGACAGCAACCCAACAAAAGAGTTAAAATGGACCTAGTGATAAAAGTTTATCACTTTAAAGTTTAAAGTAACGCTAACTACGAATGTGGTTATGTGCATAGTGGATGACCAGTGGTGGACGAAGTACACAATCATGTAGTGCGCATGTAGTGAGTTAAAGCAGAGATACCCAAGGTAAAATATTACTCCAGTAAAATAGAAGTCCTCCCTTTAGACCTCCACTTGAGTAAAAGTACAAAAGCATTTGCCTTCAAACGTCCTTAAGTATTGAAAGTAAAAGTACTAAAAGATTAATTATGGCTCTAATGTCCTATTATCATTTTTGTAACAAGACTCTTGCTTTATCAACTCATTTTAGGTGAAAATACTGCAGTGTCACTTTTGTGACACCAATCTTTTAATAGAATGTCATTAATTAGTCACTGATGTCTATTAAAATTATCATAAGCACAAAACACTGAAGGCAAACAATTTCCATTAGGTACAACCAACTGGCTATGAAATAACTTTTTGCGAACAAGCAAAGTTTCAGTTTAAGATTTATATGGAACTTGGTTACAAGTTTAATAAAAACTTGCTTTAAACACAGGTTCACAAATGAGTTTTCCTTTACTATATAGCATCTGTAGGTCTCTGTTCATAAACATAAACTAGCCAAAACAAATTTACTATAAAAGGAAATGTGTTTGTATAAATTCAGAAAATACACACATGCCAGTCACAAGTGCATGTGTGTATATATTTCTATATTGTGGTCTATTTACACAAAGTTAGGTTAGTTCCATCATTTATGTAGGAATAGGCGCTTCCAAAATTTTACACTGCTGCACTGACATTTAACCGTAAGCTTGCACTGGGTCAGTATGTCCAACAGATCAAAACAAGCTCAAAACAAAGTGCGCGCTGTGCCCCGATTGGTGTTCTTCCTTCACGCTTCTTTCATTTTGACTTTGAAAAATGTTTTTATACACACATGAGCCAAAAGGAAAGACAGATTTCACATAATGTAGTGGAGTAAAAAGTAAGATATTTGACTTTGAAATGTAGTGGAGTGAAAGTAAAAAGTCACCCAAAATGAACATACTTCAGTAAAGTACATGTACACAAAAAACTACTTATGTACAGTAACGAATTACATTTACTTAGTTACTGTCCACCACTGTGGATGACTGCCAGTGAGGTGTTAGAGTGGCTGACTAGTGTCCATGCCATTACGAGGAACGCATCACATGCGGTCCATGATGTGGGACAGGACAAAATATGACCGATGGAGCTGCCACATTGACTTTCAAGAATCGAGAAAAAGTGTAGGGCGTAGATCATGTGGCTGCTGCACAGACATTAATAGGAACCCATTTCAAGGCGGCCCAGGAAATCCACACTTATGGAGTGTGCAGTAACAGGTGCGGGTAATGGACTGTTGTCAGTTGCATAAGCTCAATCACCTCCAACAGTCAGTGTGAAAGACGATGGAGGCAGGGCTTCTGGAGCTTGACATACCAAATGCTCTGCTATCCTGGTGCATAAGCTCTATCCCCAACACTCAGCTCTGTCAAGGTGTGGGCAAATCTGCTATCCTCAGCGGTCCGCACCTACACAGAGATGCCCAAGGTGCGGTCAGACAAGGATTCGAAGACAGCAGCCTGTAGACGATGAAAATGTTTCAAAGCTCTGACACTGAAATAGTGTCGCCAGGCTGCACAGTTGGTCCGATGGCGAGCAAAGAGAAAGTTTGCACTGAATCACAGGATGATAGATGTCACATGTGACTCAATGGGTTACACAACCTCTCAGTCTGAGCTGCATATGCAGGGAAACATCCAGTCAGTGAGAACCACCCTAGCGGTCAGGAGATACGAAACATAACCATATTTTAGGGCAGCTTTAAAGACCCAGCTTGTTACGTTATTCATATAACCAGATTATGGAGATGACCCAAATCGGGGTGTTTTTAACCAAGCATTGTTTGAGTGTATATTGTTTGTTGTACTACATAAGGGGGTAATGATTTCAATACAGTATATTAAAATCAGCATTCAAAACAGCACACTAAAATGTGAATATATCACTACACTAAAGGTCCCTCATACTACTTATTTGCTGGACTCTAACTTCCGAACTTGGCCACTTTAACGTGAAACTTCAACAAGAAACTTTTAACCTCACTCACTCACTTTATATGCACAATTACTTTAATCTGTACACTGCAGTGTTGTTAATCTTTGTGGTTACATTAAAAAACTACTGTTAATTCTCAGTGCATTGATAAACAACACACGCACATCTATCACTGCTGCTGTGGACCCACACATGGTCTATTTTCTCCATTGTCCTGTGCTCAGTGGTTGTGTAGTTGCAGAGGGGAACCGTCATGGCCCTTTACACCCTCAGAGAGGGCCTAAGATATTCTAAAAATAATATTTTAAAAGGCATCAGTTCTAATTTTGTTTTATCTATTCATAATTTGACAATCAACATATAAATAAATACAAATCTAAGCAAAGAAATCCTTCAAACCTGTCTATTCAGTTTGTGTTGGAATGTGAAGGGTTTAATTTAAGAGGCCCCTTTGTCCCCCTTTCAGAATTTTGCCACCTCTGGAGTTGCTGGAAAGAATGTTGGTGATTGGTCGTCCAGCTAGAAATTTACAGAGGGCTGAGCAACAGTGATTCAGTAAGAGACCAATTTCAAATGACAGTGAAAGTGACCAATCATATCTTCCCTCTAAATGAGTGGGCTTTGTTTACTCTAACTTTATGACAAGTTCCACCCACTGTGAGGACACAGATCACAAGCTCACTGAAAAAAACAGCTAGCTAGCTTGTTGGTTCATGATGTAAGAGGCTAGTAATGTCACCACTAGGGAGGAAGTCATCGTTGCAAATTTATTATCTATGCCATTTCCTACATCAGCTTTTAATGAAAAGTTGTGAGTTATTCGACAAAGGATGACCTACACCAGAGCTTAATTTGGAGCAAAAATACCAAGGCTAATTTCCACTAAGAAGGTATTGCTGAGGAATTTAAAAGCAACGGGTCAGTTGCCATGACCTTGCCATCACCGACTTCGTCCAAAAGGACAGGAAGGATGGACTTTGTTTTCAAGGAATGTGACGATCAAAGGGTAAGATGTTTAAAATCAAACTGGCCACCATGCCAACTGATTTTATTCTGACCGCTGTAGCCACGATTTTATATATGTTATTTGGGAAAATGGCCATTATGCAGAACTAACAGTCAATCTATAAATTTACCAACTCAACAGTCATTATGCATTACAGTAAACACAGTAATTCTGCATCATGACCATTTTCCCACATAACCCATAACAAATATTTTATAGGCTGCTGTGCTGATCTAATAACAGGTTCCAAAATGCCATGATCGCAGTTCACTGTCCAAGGTTCGGTTGCTAACAGCTGCTTGGCTGCTTTCTCCATATTCCACTGAAGTGCACACACAGCTTATGTGATGATGTGATTATTTATAAGGAGAATTTGTATTTTGCTTAAGAAATTAGTTGTTTCTTGCTCTGGTGATAACTTTCTCCCTCTCATCCTCTCCATGCTGTTTACTTGTTGTATTGCTAAGGCTGGACTAGCGTCTTGATTTTTGTTTCAGAGCTGAAATCGGTAACTTTTGCAGTACTTTAGGAGAGGACACAGAAAGCTAGGCTGGTAGTTTTTCACACGGGGAATGGGGGTCAGAGGGCCAAGGTTTAAAAGTTACTGTTCGCTGCTGTATAGTTGTAGTTATTGTATGTTTAGAGAAGAATTTACTGTATAGTGTTTGTATAGTTTGTATTTATTGCCTGTCTGCACTGTTGTCTGCAGCTGTTCTGTGTTAAATGCAGCACCGAGTCTTGGAGAAACTACGTTTCGTTCCTCTCTCAATACATCTGTGATGAGAAGGAATGACAATAAAGCTCATTTTGATTTTGACTTGACTCATTTATTATCTTTTGTGATAACTCAAGAGATCTTTCAGGGTGAGCATCAATTTGCAGTTAGTAACATGACCAGATAAGTCTTTATGGGGAAAAAACAAATGGCGTTTTTGAAAATCACCAGTATTTAATCCATAAAATTTTAAGATTATCTTTCTGTAAATGTGTTTTATTTCTGGCTAATGTTTATAATACGGTGTAAGGTTCACTTTGGTGTAATCTCAAGTTAAAAAAAAAACAAGGACTAAAACAGTCCAATAAAAAAAAAAAATTCAAGCATAAAGTAGCAGCACTCAGGAAAGATGTTAATGTTAACTACTTTTGTTTAATGTTAAATTAAATATCTGGTACCATGACGTCGAAAATATAATGACAGAGTTTGATCAATATCACCCAGAACTAACTGAAATAATAATAATAAAAAAAATAGCATAAGAAGCACATTTTGTTGAACAACCTGCATGTAGCATCTACAATTCTTTGAAGAGAAATCTTTTCCCTTTTTTCAGCCTAACTAAACAGCGATACATCTAAATAATCTTTATCTGTAGAGGTCTGCTGTGAAATGGTGCACTGAACAGAAACTTACTGGCTCTTGTTCTTTACAGTGGTGGTGATAAGAACCAGGGGGCTATTTCACAAAGCAGGATTTCTCAGTTAGCCAGACAACTTAAGCCCAAAGATGAAGGGTGTCCAAAAAGAATGTCCTTCATCTCTTTTCCTGCTGGACACGCTTGACTCTGGGGCATGGGCGTCCTGGGCTTCCAGGGCCCCGAATACTTTTTAAACCAGCCTCAAACCTTCACCCACTCCTCTAAAGCAAGAGAAAGAGAGACAGAGAGTGAGAAAGAAAAAGAGAAAGAAAGAGAGACAGAGAGAGAGCGTGCACGAGACAGAGAAAGAGTGCGCGTTGCACGATAAGAGTGCTTAGGACTGATTAAATGGGTCGAGATTTGGCTGAAATTTTTGTTTAAAAAAAAAGGCAAATCCACTATATTAAAAAAAAAACATTTTAATTTCTGAAAATAACTGGCTGTTTTAAAATGTCAAGTTACAGGGGAATTTTTAAAAATTTCGGTATAATTCAGTGGTTAAGACGTAAACAAAGTCATTCAGAGTGGTCTGATGTGGAATAGTTAACTGCAGATAAACTTACAGCCTCTTACTTCTTTACAGTGGTGGTGGAACCAGGGGTCACAATGTCCACCACACAAATACAGCCATTTTATTTACTAACCAAAACCACCAGTGAACTTACACGTCTTCTACGAGTTTTTTAAGGGGGAAAACCTAGGGGAAAAAAATTTTAGGACAAAACTTATCAAAAAAATATCAAAAACATCCTCTCAGGCATCAGGCAGCATATTCATTTCATATTTCATGTAATGACTTTTTTGTAGGAGCTTTCAGAGGCATAAAACTCTAAAGATGTCTGGTTCCTATCACCACCACTGTGAACAACTCTGACTCTGTAAGTTTCTCTAAAATGGAGCATTTCACACCAAACCACTCTGAATGACTTTCTTTACATCTCAACCATTTAATTATGCAGAAATTTTGAAAAATTAGTGGAGATTCCCTTTAAATGAACATCAGATAGTAAGTAAACATAACTTATTGTGTGTTACATTCTGCTGACTCATAGTTTGAAGTACAATAATAGTACAATTTTAAGGTTACTTGCTTTAAGTCCAAATCAGTTTTATACATAAAACTGTACATTAAAAAATCACTAATTTGAGACTGAGCCCGATATACATGAAAAATATAGCCAAATATATACAACGTAATTGACAGGACACAAAATGACCAAAATGAAATGCTTTGTTTTAGCTTTTATATGTAAAATACTGTGTCTTGTGTGGTTTTAGGCAAGAAGAGCTTCACTGAATGACTGTTTAGCTTTTAATTTATATAAAAAACTACAGATAAAGCTTTTCTGTGTGGGCAGGACATTAGCGAGGAAATGTGTTGAAGAGATCGATGTGGACAGAGAGGAAATGTGCAGAGAACTTTAATACTGTCATTATTGGGGAAACATCTGTTTTTGACACATTTTCTCATTTTATGTTACCAATAATGTTTATTTTCTGTTACAAATATTGTTTTAACCCTCCTTTGCTTTTGTCATTATTTCGTTCATAAGACACGCCAGTCAACAATGCTCTATCGATACACATTCTGTGGATGTGTAAAATGTCACATAAAATAAAAAATAATGCAGCATCAGGGCAGGAGATGCTCTTTTAATGATCTTATTTTCAACCGATACTTCAACAGAGGCAGCAAAATGTCTGGTTTAGCACTTTCCCATCATGAAACACGACACACAGGGAGGGTAGACACTTCTAACTAGGGATGCACTGATATTAGTTTGTTCAGACCCAGTACGAGCACATATTTTTTAGTACTCGCGAATACAGAGCTATAGTTGTTGGTGTATATGAGTGCAACGCACCTTAAAAATTAATTAATTAAATTCTAGCTGACTTTAAATGAAGTGAATTAGCTAGCCATGCATTGATTACCTTGGATCAAGTAGCACTACAGTGGAAAAGAGTGGGCAGAAAAACACTTCTGTACAGCTGTAAATAAAGTACAAGTCATAGTTTTGCTCCTCGCCACAGTCTCTGTAGCACAGCGACAGCAGAATTCACCTCCAAGGAGCTCACGTTTCGAGTTTTACGTCTTGTTGGGAGTCTTTTGTTTGGAAGATTGAACTGTAGCTGAATGTCCTCTAAAGCCAGACATACACTGTGTGATTTCAGAAATCTTCTTCTTTGGTGACTCACTTGAATAGACCATCGTGTACAGACAAAGCCAAACGCAGCCTCCACAGAGCTCTTTCTCTATGGACAATTTCAAATGAAGCTGTTTCATTCAAAACAACATGCTGCACACCGAGTACTGAGCAAACACACTGAGAGCAGCTCGGCTAACACTGAGCACTGAAGCTAAAAGCAGGCAGTGATGTGCACAGTAGACAATATGGTCCCTCTACATAATATTTTACAAAAAGAATTACTATACTAACGTTTATGCATCGCTCTCATATTCAGTCATTGTCCTGTTTGTTTTTTGGCGTGTCAACCACTTTACGTGGTGATGGCAGCGCCACACTCTTCTGCCATGTGTGTCACGGGTTGCTTGGTTCCAGAGCATTTATTGGGCTCATTTTGCACCAATGTTCCAGAAAAAATAGACTATATATATATTTAATATGAATACTCAAAAGAATTCATGAAAAATTTATCCAAATATTTTTCAGATAAATATGGATACAATATAGATCTAAAACTTTAAGATGTGATTGTTGGTTTCAGCTGTAGCATCTCTGAAAATACTAATTACAAAAGACAAAATGTGGTAAATCTAAGCCTCATTTCAATGTTTTCTTAGCTGAATTTAATTTATTTATTGAGTCTCTTAAATCCCTTAGCAATAAAATAGCTATGTCTACTATTAGGAATATGAGGGGTTTAAGTTTGGTGGAAGAATGAAAGTGTTGTCATTGTAGTTTTTTCTTTATTTTATCTTTTCCTTGTGTTCACTTGATGCTGTTCAATATATGTCTGTAGTTTATCTTTAACATGGATGATGCTATATGTATGTTGATAAAAAAAAAGCATATTCATGGGGCTGGAACGGCACCGATTTGCCTAAAGTTTGATCACCCCCGGTAAAAATACCCGTTTTGTTGATTTTCTAAGTGTTAATCATTTAACAAATCCTCTACAGAGAACAAACTGAAAACTGTCATTTGAGTTTAACCTACTGGTAAAAACATGAAAAGTGCTGCACTGCACTGTTGGGTTTTTAGTATTCCTTCATCTTATGCCGGCCTTACACCAAACGACTTTTCAAGCGATTTCACTGTCGCACACAAACATCCATGTCGGAATAAAATCACGAGAGTGTTGTTAGAGTCGCGTCGCGCTATCTCGATCGTTTGGTATAAGGAGAGAGAGAGAGAGAGAGAGAGAGAGAGAGAGAGAGAGAGAGAGAGAGAGAGAGAGAGAGAGAGAGAGAGAGAGAGAGAGAGAGAGAGAGAGAGAGAGGATGTATGTGTGAGAGCCTGAAATCTCTGTAAAAACGGCAAATCTGCTCCACTTTAATACAATAATCATATTAACTTACAATGTAAACTGACTCCTTTAATATTTCAGGACTTTAAGAGTGGCATTACTGAAGAATCGTTGCCGTTTTTTCCTTATTTATGTTTTTTATTTTATTTTTATTTTTTTGCTTTCTGTTACACTGTTTGTTTTTTATGGTTTAGTTCATGACACCCAATCGACAATGCTGAATCACTGCATGTTGTGTTGATGTGTAAATCTTCATATCAAATTAAAAAGGTAACTGCACATTTTACAGGGTAATTAAAGATTCTGAGTGATGATCCGTCAGAGGATACAGCTCTACAGCTCTATATCTTTCCATCTGTACCACTATAGAGTGGAAGGAAAAGTGTTTATCTGCTTGTAAATTTCCTCCAGGTGCATGATGGGAAATAATCTCAAAAGTCTAGCTGCAGTCTTGTAAATAGTGACACTTCAAGATTCCCAGTCTTTGTAAAATCATATTCTGTGACTAAAAACATGACACTGTTTTCAGATGTGAGAGGGTGTCAGACTTTAGTCTTTCAAAGTCTTCTACTGTACGGTTAGCATTACAACCCGCAGCACGCGGAGACGGGGAGGCGGCGTCTCCAGCTCACCGCTGTGTGGTTCATCATTTTGAACGCTCTCCTATGCGGAGGGATACAGAAGTAGTCCCATACTAAACAATACCTAGTGCCTTAGAGAACAAAGTAGAACCTAACAGCCCTAAAAATCACAGACTAACGTCTACAAAAATGACCAAATCCAGTTTCTCCAGTAACTCACCTCTTCCTAAAACAGCCAGTGAACAAGTCCGAGGCAGCAGCAGCTTCTCTTCTCTCACACACACACACACACACACTCTCTCTCTCACTCTCTCTCTCTCACAAACACACACACACACACACACACTCTCTCTCTCACTCTCTCTCACACACACACACACTCTCTCTCTCTCTCAGCTTCATCTACAAAACCACCCCAAACCTCAGAGAGAGTAGATACGCGCTTTATTCGCGGAGTCTGACTGATTTTAAGGGTTGTTTTATCGTTTTTACAGCCTGAGCTACTGTCGGTGGTTGTTCTGCTCGCTGGACGAAGAGAAACTGAAGAGGCGAACAGAAAAAAACAAAACAAAACAAAAACAAAAACCTTTTCCGCGAATGAATGAACTCCTCACACTCGAGACGCTCACGACGTGGCAGGAAACAGCAGAGAGAAAATAACAGCGTCTGTAACTACGGCTAAAATACTGGCAAAAAGGCTACGTGCTTGAATTTTCTGAATAAATCAATATTTTTAAGAAAACAAACAAACAAAAGCACTCAAACGACTCACTCCAGGGCCTAAGAACTTCCGGTTCAGTGGTCTCCCTCCTCAGTCCCGAGACTGGACCCGTTTTGGCTGTGAGAGGTGATCATGTTCTCTGCTGCACACTGAGTACCGTGTTTAATTTTACTGTTATTTCACTCATCTTTCTGTTTACTGCGAAGCATAATATTCAGTGTCCGGTATAGTGTCCAATAATAGACATCTGGACTTGAATTGTGAGAAGTTTTTTTTTTTTTCATATTGACGTACGAGCATATTTATCACCCCTGACGCAAAGCAAGCGCTTTAGTTCTTCTGTTTACTGTATGAACAGCTGTATGAGAAGTTTCTGAACTCTTGGAAATACCTGGATATCTGCATGAACGGCCCCTGAAATAAAAAATCATTTTCATAGTATTTTTACATAATAATCATAATCACAGAGCTTTTTTAACACAAAGCATATACACTGATTTGCATTATTATATCTAAAATGAACAAGTGGTTTAAACAAAAGTCAGTGAAGAAAAAACTTTACATATTACATAGATTTATATGCAGGCATGATATACATATTACATATACTGCATACATTTTATACACCAGCCCAGTGTTTTAGACAGAAATAACCTGAAACACAGGGAATGTTTCATTTTTTGTTTGGGTCTTTTAGCCCTGATGTAAAAAATATGTTCATGTTTTACAAATCTCATTAGCCTAATTCCAATGTCCAGCATACTGGACAGCAAAATTCAGAGAAATCACTAAAAAACAATATTATCCCAAAATTCATAGATCATCATCTACTGACACTCTTAAAAACACAGTAATTCTGCTTTTAACAAAATAAACAAAAATCCTGAATGACTGTTTTGTAATGCATGAATCTACTATACTAATCAAAGCATGATTTTCAAGTCCAAATGTCCAGATTACTGGACATTCAAATTAATCTCAATATGTGTGAATGTAGAAATAAATGTATACTATTTTACTTTTCACAAAAAGAACCTTCTTGAAGGTAGAGGGGGGCTGATACATTGTGCAGAAACAGGTGGGCTAGTCTCTAATTGTACAAATATGTAATGGACCTACAAGGAAGGTGGACCAAATAAAATACATGGTGAATGTAGATATGAGGTACGTGTACCTTCTGGAAATTCTGTATATTAAAGTTTATAAATAATCAAAAGGTCCACTAGTACAATACTAAACTGTGTGTGTACCAGGTTTATGCCACATTGTAGGGACCAAAACCTGTTCATACACTCACCTTGTGGGGACCACAAGCTTTAAGGTTAGGGTTGGGGTAAGGGATAGACTAAGTCTAGTAGTAGTCCTGGTTAAGGTTTGGGTAAGTCTACAGGGAACATAATATACTATGTATTATATATATTATGTATATTATAATAAACTTAATTTGTGCTGTTTCCCCAATCTGTCACATTCTTAATTGCCATTCTGAACTACAGGGTCAAATTTGACCCTGAACAGTATTTTGTACCCAAATGGTGTAAAGACACCACTTTATAAAAACATCAAATTGGTCAACATTTTTTCACTTTTATACCGTCACTGATGAGAACATCATCAAGTTTGATGAAAAAATTGTAATGTAAAGCATAATGGTATTTTAAATTTCAACCTGGAACAAAGAGTTAACATCCTGTCCAGACATTTCCCTTCCCTGTTGAATGAAAACATGTTCAGCGCACTCCATTTACCAGCAGCAGTGAGTCTGTGAGGCTCATTAAACATCCTAGACCAAAAAAAAAACCTCAGAGCACATTGCATCATTATTCTCCAGCAAAAAAATACCAAACCTCAGCAATAGGCTAGAGGATATGACTACCTCTATGAGACTGCTGAGCAGAGCCTTCTCCTCCATGTATAAGGGATTATTTGACATTTACGTCATGGGGCTGAATGGCTACTGCAGAAGTGGAAAGCTTGATTCTGTACTGTGCACTGTTTTGTGGATTTTGAAGAAAAGTTAATTCTTCCCCAAACATTCCACCACATTCCATTCCAGTCACAGTGAAGAAAAGGTTCTTTCCAGCATGACTTCGGCTCCTTGTAAGTCCAAAGCTGTAGTTTGTAGGCAGCTCCTTACCAATGAACCAGTCTCCCCATCCCGATACCCCTACCACTGAACCAGCCCAGTCTCCCCATCCCCATACCCCTACCACTGAACCAGCCCAGTCTCCCCATCCCCATACCCCTACCAGTGAACCAGCCCAGCCTCCCCATCCCCATACCCCTACCAGTGAACCAGCCCAGTCTCCCCATCCCCATACCCCTACCAGTGAACCAGCCCTGTCTCCCCATCCCCATACCCCTACCACTGAACCAGCCCTGTCCCCCATCCCCATACCCCTACCACTGAACCAGCCCTGTCTCCCCATCCCCATCCCCATACCACTAAACCAGCCCTGTCTCTCCATCCCCATACCCCTACCACTGAACCAGCCCTGTCTCCCCATCCTCATACCACTGAACCAGCCCTGTCCCCCATCCCCATACCCCTACCACTGAACCAGCCCTGTCTCCCCATCCTCATACCACTGAACCAGCCCTGTCCCCCATCCCCATACCCCTACCACTGAACCAGCCCTGTCCCCCATCCCCATACCCATACCACTGAACCAGCCCTGTCTCCCCATCCCCATACCACTGAACCAGCCCTGTCTCCCCATCCCCTACCCCTACCATTGAACCAGCCCTGTCTCCCCATCCCCATACCACTGAACCAGCCCTGTCTCCCCATCTCTATACCACTGAACCAGCCCTGTCCCCCATCCCCATACCCCTACCACTGAACCAGCCCTGTCTCCTCATCCCCATATCCCTACCAGTGAACCAGCCCGGCCTCCTCATCCCCATACCACTGAACTGAACAAGGAAGTGAGCAGCATCATGTTGAACGACATGTCAGTTGGCATAATTACAGGACCATGGAATTTTTTATTATTATAAAATAGAAAAATGATTAAATCCTTTTTAGCATTCTTTTTTTTCCACAATTCATTTTCAAAAAAAGGTTTACAACCTCTTGTTAATGTTATGTTTGTTTTTTTGTAATATAGATGACATCATATTTGCAGTTTTAGGTTAGTGAGTGTCCATTTTATAGCTTTCAAGGGATTAGCATGCTAACATTAGCTAATTTTGAAGCCTACATGCAGGATGTTGCGTGCATGTCTGCACGGTGTTATAATTTCAGGGCTGGCGTGGCCTGCGGTGGTGGCGGGGCCCAAAATCCCTGACGGCGCTTCTGGGTATTTTCTACCCATCTCCAAAGCCAAAAATAAACTTTAAAAATGTCAGCTTTGGATTCCTCTGTGTGGTTTCCAAACACACCTGTATTCCTGAGCAGTGATTTCAGACATGAGCCTGAACAGCTGATGCTGAGTGGATTGTTTGGTTGAGACCAACTTTTGTTACAATTAATTTAACTACATTCTACATGCAGCAAGTTAACTTTATTAGTTAAACAGACCAGCAGAGAGAGCTGGTGGGGCTTCAGCGTGCACTGAGTGCAGCAGGATTTGGACAGATTTCTTTCATTTTGCCGTTATTAATGTATTGAAAGGCTCAATTCAGGACTATTAAAATATCCAGGTGATTATGTAAGTGATGGCCGCATGGCATTATGGGATGCAGTATTTTATGAAGAAAGCTCTGCTCGTGTACTGGAATATTTTGCTGGAGCAGTGAGTCATCCGGGTCTCTCTGGCATACTGCATACTGCTTTTGGACACAATCAGGATGTAAGCAGTATGTAGGCTAGCAGGCTATTTTGAACATAACAATGCTCATCTCGAATCATTCACGTTTTTTGAGCAAGAATCATATGCTCAGATTGGATTTATAGTTTCAAAACTTGGGAACTGACAGCATGGCTGAAACAAAGTGCATTCAATTTTTGTCCTGTGTATCACATTCTCATATTTTCTGTGGATGTAACAGAACATTCATATGGGTTTATGTGGATTTATAGACTAATAACAGTTTTTATATTTCTTATTGTTATTAAAATTAGCTATTGAATGGGCTCATGGAAAATCAAGTTTTCCTAACTTTTTTAAATGTTAAAGTTTGATATTGTATGTGCAAAAGTGTTAACATTCTAAAAAAGTACAATCAGTGTTAAATAAAATACAACTAAATGAACTTCTATGAACATTGAAGCCACCTCCCTCTTCATATTTCTCCTGATCAAATAATGTGGACAATTTATTTCAGACACATTTACTGAACGGCTGTAGTCCAGTGAATTCCTAAACTGCATATGGATCTCCACACTCCTGGGACGTACTGCCTCAGAAATAGCATTTATTTAGATTTTGACAATAGAAAACGTCATGTTGTTTACTGCAGATTCACTGAGTGATTAGCACTGGCATTACATGCAAGCTGTAGTGATCGCTGGCTGGATTTCTTTTTTTTTTGTTTGTATCCGAGTTTTGCAGGAACACAGTAACATCTGATCTGTTTTTGTCATGTCTAGTAATCATTGTCATTAATATA